AAGTGCTCAAGTCCCTGTGGAAGGAGAACTGTCAGCTGTTTATTTATTTATTTATTTACAGCAAGATGGAGGTACAGGTAACACAGAAGTACCTGTAACAACTCCAGTATGGTATTATTGTACTGATCTCATCAGTCTGTGTTTAGAGATGTTGGTGGAATTGTATTTAAAAAACCCAACAGCCTCCCCCCCAACCCAAAAGAAAAAAGACCCCCACCTTGTTATCTTGTTGCAAGGCCCACAAGGTGCTTTTCTGTGTGCTAAAGGAGATGAGTTTTTGATCTTAAGATGCGTAGTTGAGGATCTGTGGAGAGAGTGGTGAGTTATTTTTGGTAGGTTCCTGTTAACCTTATGTCCTTCCTCTTACTCATGCTTATGATATAGTACCACAGAAGTTTTTTCCCCATAGTTGTATATTTTGATGATTCTGACTTGTTCTTGACAGTGCTCTTTTCAGAGATATCTACTGTATATTTGGTATTTGTATATTCTGTGTAGAAGAGAGTTCTTAGAACAGATGAGATTTGAACAGAGTAGAAATGTAGATAGTACAGATTAGCTCACTAGGATGGTAACCTCCTTTTCTCTCACCTTCTTCTGATATGACACAGCCTCTGGTCTTTGGGGTAGCATTAAAAGAGGACAGGCATTGTGAAATATCCTGAAAAACAACATGGAGCCTTTGGGATAGAGCTGGAGAGTTTTGGCCAAAGACTAGAAAAAACTGTCTAGAACTGGACAGCAGCTCAGTGGAAATTTTCTTTGTGGCTGAAGCTTTCTGAATTGCATTTAAAGACCTGAAGGAAATGAAGCTAAATGAGAGCAATGATAGGAACTGTCTGATATTTGGGCTTTAAAGCTGAACGCTTGTTAGGTTTTTCAAAATTTGTGTTACAGATTTCAAGACAGCATTGTTAGAAGAACTAGGAAGTAAACTCTATCCTGAGGGAGAATGAACAAAACTGTATTTTTCATGGTAACATAATAAGTTACCTTCTGGGTAGCTCCTTACATGGTGGTTGTTTTTCAGTATCTTCAATTAGAACTTCTCTCACAAAGATAATGGTCTTGCATTATCAGTAAGTTTGACTTCAGTAGTTTTCTGTTGCGGAATTGGCCATCTAGATCATATTTGAGTAAGGATGCAATTTTGGGGGAATAACTAGCTGAAATTATGAAAAGGCAGTAACTGCACATATGAAGTTTATTTTTTCCTGTTAATTTGACCAGTGATGGTTAGCAAAAGCAGTAAAATGACTTCCCTGTTCGGGTACACTCCTTCAAAAACTTATCACTGGCATGGTATGCGTGGTAATGGTGAAATGTCACTGAGAGCTACAAATAACCCCTGAATGTTTCATCAGAAAGGAATGATGTTCAGTTGTCCCTGAAATGAACCTCAAACTTCTCCAAAGTTTACAGTCATGCATGAGCTTTGCAGTTGCCCTCATACCTGTTGTGTATGGGCACCTGGGAAGGTGAGGCAGGCTGAGAGCAGATTCGCCTGCTGCCCCAAGCAGTAACCTGCTTCCATTCTCACCCGTCTCCTGGGTCTCCTCCTTCTGCCTGGTGGAGAGAGGGTAGGGGGTCCTTTGTCTCTTGTGCTGCAGCTGGCTGGTGCATCTGTCTCAGGGATGGTAGATAATGATTCCACCAGTCAGTCTCCTTCTCTGACTCCCTGATACTCCTCAGCCTGGACACCTCCTCTCAAAGCTCCATCACCAGGCTGAGCAGCTCCTTTACTTGGGCACATCTCCCACAGGTGAGCTCACTGCTGCCATCACATACTGACCTGAAACTCGGGCACTCCCTGCAACC